GTGTGTGTGTGTGTGTGTGTGTGTGTGTGTGTGTGTGTGTGTGTGTGTGTGTGTGTGTGTGTGTGTGTGTGTGTGTGTGTGTGTGTGTGTGTGTGTGTATATATATATATATATATATATATAAGTATATATGTATTGAAAGCTAATAATACCTGATAATACTAAGGTATTATTAGCTCTTTATATGTGTGCACGCACGCACGCATGCACGCACGCACACACATGCAAGCACACACATGCTTACATATGCATAAACAATAACAACATCTAGAAAAAATTGAAACTTTTTTACGATGACTCCAAACAATAACTTAAGAACCCAAACAATATGCAATGTAATAACAATTTTTTTAAAGATTTTATATATTTTTTTAATTCGTATGTTAGCAGGTAATTAATTACAGTAATTATGGTGGTCTCCGCTACATCAGACCCCGAGTAAACGAGCACATTGCTCAGATGGAATCAGGCTGCTCTGAAAAACAATCCTTGCGCACGCTAGTATGTGTTTATCGTTTAACCGGGACATTTTTGTGATTCCGGACTTGTCCCGTTCAAGCGGGGACCACGTTGTACTTCCTAAAGATTGATTACATCCCGTAACTAGTTGCGTCGGGTTTCAGGAACGTGAAGTGCGTTTGCTTCGCGACCGCCAGCCCCGCCAAGTTTGCCGAAGCAGTGCTGGCCGCTGGTCTAACCCCACAGCCAACTAAAGCAGTGACGGAGCTGGAGAGCAAGCCGACGCGCTACATAGACATGCCATCCGGCGCCGACTGGGAGGCGATGTTGAGAGCTAAGATAGAAAAAATCTCGAGGAAGTCCTAAGTCATATAATGGTCTACGTTCTCTTGTCGTTACTACTTAGTTCGTGAAAGCATTTCTGATGTTGTGTACTGTGGCGTGTCGGCATGGTGATTGGCGAAGTAATTCATCATAGGTCATTTAAATGTATCGTAGTAGTAAGCTTTGGCTGCGTGTAAATACTTTTAGCTTGAATATTTGTATGAAATATGCTGGAAAACTGCACTATGAGGCGAGTTGTTAGAAAGCAGTAGATTCAGGATTTACAAGATGTGTAGCCAGGTGGTACTTGGTAGTGGTGTTAATTTAACAGCTGGATCTTGTAATCCCAGTGTTTTCTGAAAATGATACATTTCCGTCATTGTGTACCAGGTTTTTCATTTACTCGCACCCATGTATTGTTATACTTGGCCGTGAGTAAATGACGTTTTGTAGCGTTATCAGGTAAAATTGTGAAAGAAAAGTTTTACCTCATAAATTGACGTTAAACATCATTTTACGGTGTTATTTAAACTACATTGCGATGGCACAGAGGTAACTTATAAAATGCCTTATCAGGTGCCTGAGCCTTAGCATGGCACTTTACAAATGTCATCTGTATTTCTCATAAATGCCGAGTCCACCTCTGTTTAACAACCAAGTGTCGAGCACTGAATTGCCAGTGCAAGTTCATGATCTATTACCCTGTACAGACTACAAATTTGATACCACATCAAACTAGTCCGGGCCTGACGCAGGCCAAATTTTTGCAGTGTTGTATACGCTTTCCCCTCTCTAAATACGTGCTAGTCCAGACTAATCTAGACCTGCAAATGAAGGAGGGCCAAATTAGCCCGGCGTAAGTTGGTCCACTCTAAACTGTGTGTCACACAACTCGCGGGCCAAATCCTGTGCTATTTCGCATTACACATGCCCGTGGGGGGGGGGGGCACTCCCTAAATATTGTATGGTAGGTATGTGCCGCGGTTATGACCCCCATTTTCACCTCCAAATTTCCTCTCCGGAGACCCCCCTTTTAACATATTTCCCGTCCTGTAGCATAGGTCCTGCTTTTTCATAAACAGATACTCCCTTATTACATATGTCCAGGCGCGCGGCTGGCCCAGACTAGTTTGATGTAGGATCAAATTTTGCAGTCTGCACGGGGTATGTTTGTTCATGCCTTTATAGTAAGTGAGCAGGGTTCGTTTATATTCGCGTTAATTGGCGGTCGGTGTCCTGGAATGGTGTTCACCTTTACAAGGCTTGAGAAGATAGGGTGTAGGCAGAGTTTCACTTTCTTCTAGCTCGTTTTTTTCGTCTGGACACGATTCGTCGTGATGATTTATCATGCCATCAGGGGTGGAATGTGGCGAGGATGGTGTCAGTGAGAGAACGCAGCAAATATATACAGTCTACGGTCATTGACGTGGCGCGCGGAGGGGACAGAGGAGAACACGAAGGGCAAACTTAGTAAACACAGCAACTAAGGCAAACACAGCTTTGGCGCACAATTCATCTGCTAGGATGTAGCATCGATGGTATCGGCCATGTTTAGCAGTTGTTTGGCATGTTGATTGTGACGCGTAATTTGCTCCTGTTGTCCAGCCGTCAACGTTTCCTCTTGCCACAGTGAAGACTGCGCAAGCGAGCTCGATTTATTATGTGTGAGTTGTTCGATTTTATCACAGCCATGTAACGGCAATTCCCGTTTAATGATAAGCTTACGTACATACCGGTGTTACAAGGGACGAAAGAATACAGGGGTGCGCATAGGTAATGTTTAGATTGTGTGTCAGTGCTGTAGGCATGTGGAAATTTGTTACTAGATTATTTCGATGGAAACAACAAATTACACGGTAAACGCGATCAGGAGACATTTTACAAAGAATAATGTTATTTTTTTACAGTCAAGTACGCGATTATTTATCATGATATGAGAAGAGAATCATGTAAGAGGGGTTAACATATATGATATGCGATGTCTGTTGTATTCGTACATAATTCACTACGAAGGAAGCCCCCCGCTGAGGCAATGGTCATGTCGATCCCCTTCTCCTTACTAATAGGATAATCCGATATAATAAGTACAACGCCTAATTTTTTCATGTGCATTACGAGAAATTACCATTTTAGAGACAACGCATTTATTAACTAATAGTTTGAGTTGGTAGTGTAGCATATATCATCCACGTTTACAGCATATATAGTCTCTGAATTATATCATCTATCTATCTGTATATTTCCTTTTTCTTTCCTTTTATCTCTGCCCCCGTCATCTCTCTATTTCTATCTCTCTTTCTCCCTCTCTCACTCTCACTCTTTATCTGATTCTCTCCCCCTACCCCTCTTTCGCTTTCGCACTCTCTCATATCGTTTATTCTTATTTGCTCGCGCTCACACTCGCGCGTGCTCGCTGTTTCTCTCGCTCTCCATCTCCCTCTCGCATTTTCTTATTTGCTCTATATAGCTGTATCTCAGACACGCTCTCTTTCATATATATATATATATAGAGAGAGAGAGAGAGAGAGAGAGAGAGAGAGAGAGAAGAGAGAGAGAGATATATATATATATATATATATATATATATATATATA